AATGTTGACTAATGTTGCTCAAATTGAGCACCAACTTTAAAGAGCGTCTCAATCAGATTGATCATTTTTACTAATTGTTTTTGGACCAAATGTCACTAGGAAACTTAATTTGTCACTTGATTCTCTGGATAACACTGATCAACAACAGCCCTTAGTGATTTATCTCACCTCATGTATTTATTATGTATTTGTCTATGTTAATGTCATGTGTATTTTTATTGTTTCATTTTTTTTAAGGAGAGAATAAAGAATGTTTTTTACAGTCTATGTTCCAGAGTAAGACAACAAAATTCTAGAAATAAACTACAACTCCCATGATCCTCCCGTGTCCGTTTCATAAACAGTAACGTTAGCAGTTTCCCTGATTATATAACAAGCTTGAGGAGCAAAGGTGGGTTGGTGCACGATTTGCTTCAATTAATTTAATCATCGATTTGCTGAACATGATCCGACTTTCTGTTTTTGAGCACACAGCTATGCGACGATTCATAAACTTTGCATGTAGCAACATATGCATGTACAAGTTGCTTAGCATTAACAGCACACTTTCATAACAAGAGCATCGTTCAGCGTGAGGGAAAGATTTCCTGAAAACTAGCAGAGAACGCTGTTGTTGTTTTTTCATTAGTGTATACATATTCATATAGGAGTATGAATGCTATTATTGTCCACTTATTTACTGTTTACTTTGGTGTGTCTTTATATTTTAAAGCATTAGAGGCACATTACGGTTCCTAAAGGATTTCCACCTATTAGGAAAATAATAAATAAAATTGTGACAAATGGCGGAAAAACAAGTACGGAACAACATATTTCTAAATATTTACACAGGTTGTAGAGGTGACTGAATTTGGCGAGCAACTTTCAGTCCTGTTACTCAAGTTACTCAAAATTAAAAAGTTAGGTTAGTTAAATTAAAGTTTAAAAGTTAGGTTAAATGTTCAACTCTGTTACCTATTTAGTCATAAAAGTATTCCTTTTTGACTTTTTTTTTATCATTTATGTCTGTTCATTTTGGATGTTCATGTTAAGATTATTATAAGAAAACTACAAAAAATTGAACGTTTAGATTTTTTTTTTAGACAAACTGTAGTTACAGAGTTGCTAAAATCACAAGATATTTAGTTCAAACTTCGATTGAAAACAATTTATTTTGACCTCCTGAGGTTTAAAATCTGAAGGTTAAGCACCTCTTGTTATTTATCAATTGTCACAGTGTTTTTAAAGTCTTTAGGCCTTATTTTGTTCCTGATTCTCTGTAACAACACCTGAACCCTTGCTGTCTCACGTTTAGGTTTCTGACGCCCTATCTTCATTTCCTGCTCAAGAATGCCAGAAGGCCCTGAGCTCCATTTGGCCAGCCTGTATGTCAACAAGATGTGTGAAGGGCTTGTGTTTAGTGGAGCCGTAGAGAAATCTGAAGTGAATAAAAATCCTGAGGTCCCATTCTGCTGCGATGCCTACTGCATCAAAGCCCACTCCAGAGGAAAAGAGGTCAGACTCTCCCTCACACCCATTAAAAATGATGACGACGGTAAACGCAAGGTCACCAAGCATCAGTCCCAGCAGCCGATGGATGTGGTTTTCCGATTTGGGATGTCAGGGTTTTTCCGCTTCACCTCAGTAGATGACCTTCCGAAACACGCCCATCTGCGGTTCTACACTAATGAAAACCCACGCAGGGTGTTGAGTTTTGAGGACACCCGCAGATTTGGCAGCTGGCATCCAAATGGGACCTGGCAAAAAGACAGAGGGCCTTGTGTCATATTTGAATACGAGAGCTTTAGGTGAGAGAGAAAAATGAACTCTGACAGCGTTTCACAATGCATCAACTGTAAAGGTGCGGTCATATTTACCATTCTCAGCACAATTTCACTGGTAAAATTAAGTCATTCCAATAGAGTTTCCTCTCTTTTAAGATCTCGCCCATTTTGACTTGAATTCACCACCCTGACCAACAGAAAGCTGCTTGGTTCAAAGTGAATTCTTCATGTGCTGTGCTTCATACATCACTACACTACTGAGACAATGGACCTTTTTTTGCATGCAAAAGATTGCTGATGCTTATGTGACCGCACTTAATAATCATATTGTACACATTAAATATTCAATAGAAATTAGTAAAAAAAAAAACATTGTGCCGTACAATTTGATTAGTCTCCTGTTCTGGTTTGGCCATCACAGCTCATGTAATGTTACGTCATGGAAATTGTTAATGCTGATATTGGGCACAATGCGACACTGTTCTCGGCAGTTGCAATTCATACGAAAAGGACAGTTTACATTGTTGTCAGCTTATCTGTGATTACTAAAACTGCATATTTAAATATTTCAGGGAGAATGTTCTTTCAAATCTGTCTGACAAGACATTTGACAAACCCATCTGTGAGGCGCTCTTAAATCAGAAGTATTTCAATGGGATTGGGAACTATCTTCGAGCAGAGATTTTGTTCAGGTAACTCACTTTCTAATGTTTTCCAGATTTGAATTAATAGAGATGCACTGGTCAGCAGGCCATCAGTTGAAACTGACGTTTTTTTTGCTCCTAACATTGCATTCAACAGCAGTCTTTCTATGGTTTGTTTGTTTTATTTTGGCCGATCTATGTCATTTCCCAAAATTGCAAGCTGTCATGTCTGAAAAGTTTCATAATTTATTTTCAATTTCATAAGATATTTTAAAGGATTTTATATTATTTGATTTTATGTAATACTACAAAGCAAAAAGTCAAACCATTCTGTTTTTTGCTCAAATTTAAAACAACAAAAACAACTTCTGATGCTATATTGCATTTCTTGTTCATATACGCTTTCATTCTTTCTTGTCTGTTGCTTGAAGAAGAAAAAAAAGTGCAGTCGCTATCGCAATCAGCCCAGTTTGCTTGTAAAACGTGAATGGCAATCGGAATCTACCATGTAAAAATCATGAAAAGTGCATTTCTAAATCTCAACTTTAAGAATAAAACCACATTGTTTAGTTGAATAATCAGCCATTGTTTTACTTAATTGTACATGAAACCTTTGAACTTTTCCTCTCTTTGATGGCCTACTATGATGTCAATCTAAATCTAATTATGAGGAAAAGTAACCGATTTTTTCCCATTCTTTTCAGACTACAAATCCCTCCATTTGTGAAGGCAAGAACAGTTCTTGAGGGACTTGTACTGAAAGACGAGGATAAAAACAAGGTCAAAAAGGAGATTACAGTTGTAGAGGTGAAGGAATCTGACCTTCTTGTCTGTGTCAGTGTATTAATAGGCACTTTGTTTGGCATAAATCATCGCTTTGTACTGTTTCATTCAGTCAACAGATAAAACCGGGAAGAAAGTGGTGAAGGCTGAGACCCCAGACCTTCTTTCTCTGTGTCACACTGTTCCATTGGAGGTGGTGCAATTGGGTGGGCTTATTCTGCAACCAATTGTGATTTATTAACTGATTTTGCACAGTTGTACATGCTAAGATTTGTGCATGATGGTACTTGCATACCTTGTACAAAATCCCACTGTCAGCGACATTTCATTTTTAGTTTTAGATCAGCATCCATGCATCTGCTTTTTTACTTCCATTTTTTATACCTTAAGGTGAAACTGGTTATGCGCCAGCAAAGGGGAAGTATTCTGTGCTTCAAGCCTGGATGCGATGTTACTCTGTGGATGGAATGAACTCATTAGGTGACCACAATGGACGGACAATTTGGTTCAAAGTATGTGTTTGTAATTCTCTGCAAATCTTAATTCTAATCCTGGAGACCATTCTGAAACACATTTAGAGTTCAATCTGATTTTGATTCATTGCTTGCTTTGTTTTGAGGGGGATCCTGGTCCTCTGATGCCCAAAGGTAAAATCCCTCTACAATATAAACAGATGATTGATCCTAAGAATGTTAAAGTCACATGTGACTAAAAATATTCCTCCATTAGGTGCCAAATCTCGCAAAATTATGTGGAAAAGGCAGAAAGATGATCACGATTACACGGATTCAAAAGTGAGATGTCATTACTTTGCATTTCTGACACTTGAGTTCATGACCAGATGCAAGAAATTTAAACAACATCTGCTTCACTCTAGAAAGCCAAAAAGACACGCACCGACAGCATTGCAAAAGCAAAACCTGTTAAGAAAAAGGAAAACATAAAGGTAAAGAAAGAAAATGCAACCTCCAAAACACAAAATGCTTCAAAAAGACAGAAAAAAAAGGTCAATGCAGCACCTGCAGATGAGAACAAGCCAAAAACAAGAGGAAAGAGAAGCTCAAAAGGTCAGAATCTCACCTTCACTATTTATTTGGCTACTTTCAGTATTATTAGTATTCAGATCCTGATTACACTGCAATTGTTGTCCTTTCTTAAGTTCCTCCAAAGACTGGAAAGAATTCAATCAAAAGCCAACGTGTGGAGGAAGAGATTAAAACTAAAAGTTATTCTGTAGCCTGCAGGAAAAGCGCAACAAAAGGTATGCCTTCAGTCTTTTGATACAGAGGCCGACTGTGCTCTGTGAGTTGTCGTATCTTGTGATGTTAATCATTCTCTGGATTTTATTTTAGCAAAGCCACAGCCGAAAAGAAGTGGCACACGAGGAGGCCGTTCCAAATGGTGTCACTCAGACTAAATCATCAGAATGCTTTTGAGCAAGAGGTGAAGTCAGCAAGCTACTGTAATGGACCACCCAGACTTTTTATATTCAGTAATGATTTCATAATCCTTTTTTAAAGTAAATAAGAAATATATGTAATCAAATATATATATATATATATATATATATATATATATTTGTTGTGTAAAAATTATCTTTTACTTCTAGTGTTTAATCAACCATATTGACTACCTTTTTCTTAAGATTTCACAAAGAGGTGACAGGAAAAAAGAACCAAGTAATCCATTTGAAATCTTACACTGTTTTTTTTTTTTTTTTAATAAAGTTTGTGTGAAAAAACTTAATTGAGACAATTTAAAAAGTGAAAATGTGTATGAATATCATAAACCACAATTTTCCAAAGTGGCATCAGCTACTTGGGGAAAACAAGTGATTCAAGTACCATCATAATCGATTTGCAATTAAATGGATCACTGTATAATTAAGAGGAGAGATCTGATCTGAAAGGGTTTGAACGTTAAGGTTATTCCAGAGGAGGTCTTTGACACAGGAATACTGGAATCAGGACGCTCCAGGAGATCACAACTGTAAAGACAATTACCTATGAGAATAATGTTCTTAACAATACAACAATGTTAGTATTAATTGTTTACTCACTGCCATGCTTCTTGCATGGGAAGGGAAGTTGACAAAGTCATAGTCACGCTGCTTCCGTGAGACTCATAGAGGCGAATAAGTAGGGCATTCTCTCTGCTTTCTGCCTGTGAGAAAAAGGAAACGGAGTTTGTGCTGAACACAGTGGGCAAAATCTTTTAGGAGAGGTCACCGACAGGACATTTCATGAATGGGCACCTGTTTTATGGTCTCCAGGATGACAGCAGGACAGTTTACAGAGAATGCACTCCAGGGTTCAGCAATGACGCCATGAAAGACGTGGAGCGGGAAGTTCAGGTTGTAGGCGTACTGGATAACCGAAGCATCCTGGAAGAGGCCTTTTCACATGCATTGGTTTTATTCATGGTCGTCTGAAAATTATTTATAATGGTTTTTAGATTCAAGAAGATGTACCAACCTGTGTGTGGCATCAAGGCATAGGTAAAATTATGACTACCCATATCTGCATTGGCATCTGGTGCTTTTGGAGCATGCAATCTGTAGAAAAGAAGGTGATGTTGGCCAAAACAACACATTTTAATGACCTGTCTGTAGTTGTGTTTGAAAGATACTGCTGTGTTTGTTCATTCTGTGTGGGTATCTTACAGGGACAAGGTCATGATGTTTTCATGGATCGAGTAGCCATATTTGGAGTCATTAAGAAGAGCCACGCCAAAGCCATGCTCAGACAGATCAGCCCATTTGTGTCCCCACACCTATTAAATAAAGCATAAATTCATACATTATGTAAGGTTTTCCAAAAGAACTACAGATGTTATAAGGAGGAGACATGGCTGAGAAACCCATGGGAGAAACTGCAGTGTTCAGCACACGGGGGTGTTGGGAAGCAGTCTATTGAATTAAAAGAGAAAATTGTCCTATTGGTGAGGCATTGACATTGTTTTTGGCCTAGAATGTGCATGGGCATTCACTGGACCAACTATTAAAAAAAATTCAGTTTTTAGCCTGATTTGAGCTAAAGAATAAATTTTTTCTTCCAGTAAACAAGTTACTGAAATGTACACTTGGCACATCAAGTTTACAGACTAAACTTGGAGCTAAACTCTGTAGTTGACCTTGAGGGCCAGAGTTGCCCAACCCTGCCACAGTGTTTCCTGTTTATAAATTAATGTTTTTAAAGGGCTCTCATGAGCACCTCTTTGTGGCCACCATGTTCCCTTCCCAGCCCACAGTATGCCCACACCTAGTACACAGTGTAGACATAGGCCCTGTCCCAAATGGCACCCTAAACCCTCACGGTCTTCCTCTGAGTCCGCACTTTCTTGACGTAATGCCGCTTTGACTGTCAGGTTTCTGCTGCGGAGCTTGCCCCGGTGCGGGTTTGACAGAAGTGTGGATCGAGGGTGCATAGGGGGGCGCTCGCGAGTACCCTTCTGAACGCTAAAATGACAAATGGGACACCCTACGGTCTCGTGGACTTAACGGACACACGCACGCGGCTGCCTTTGTAAGTCCGTAAGACCGCAAGTGCACATGAAGTGTTCCATTTGGGACAGGGCCACACTAGGAGCTTTCGCACCACGTAGTTCTAGGAACTATCCAGCATGGTGGTTCCTAGAGAACCAATTTCCTCCTCAGGCCGTTTTCCTGGTTGCATTCGCAGCGGCAGCAGGAACTCTGAAGCGGCTGACAGCTATGTCTTTATTCGCGGCATTTACAAACATGAACAACCAGTGAATGGAGGACACCATAATCGGAGCTGTTTTTATTGTGTCGTGGGTTTCGTGATAACGGAGATGGAATGTAAACACACAATTTACGTGATTGAAAGAGCATGAAAATCTGACTAAATCTCCTGTGACAACTTGCATTGTTACATATCATCGAGTCTAAGAAAAGAACGCTGCAGACAACAGGTAGCCAAATACCATCATCGCTGTTTTCAATGTTTGTGGAGTAAATATTTTTACATGGCTTTTTAAAAATGCCGGGTAGCCGGTGTTTTGTATGTGTTTGGCCAAACCGCGTACACTTACGTCACCGGTAGTTCTATAGGACTATTTTTCCGGTGTGAAAGCCCCTACTGTGGGCATGTTATGGTCCCACAATTTTCCCCAGTGGGGGCCCACTCTGGTTTGTGTGGGCCAGCCCACACTCAGCCCCTACTTTGGGCTGTGCCACTCAGGCCCCACCCATGCACCACAGTGTGGGGACCACACATGCCCTGTATTTCATGCAGGTATCGGGGCCCACAGCAGGCTGCCTGCATGTGGCTCAATTCTCTGCATGCAGTGGGCCCACACGGGCCCCAAAGAGGCATGTTTGCTGGGTTGTTGTGCCCTTTGCCACGCCCACAATGGTGAGGTCACAGTAGACTATAACTTGACTACTACTACGAAGTGGACTCTTGACAAGAACTGCATGGATTGAGGGTGAAATTTGTATAAAAAGGATTAAACCCAGTACACAATACCTCAAAGCGAGCCCAGTCCCAGGATGTGTTTCTATGAGAGGGCCTCTGCAAGTGTCCAAACTGGATCTCATAAGTAGCATTTGGGCTGTGCACCTGCACAGGGAACTCCACCTTCAGAAACTTATGTGACTCTTCCCAGTCCACCTGGAAACAAGATATCCATTATGCTTCACCAAGTTTCTTGAGCAATCGGTTGATTAAATATCAAGCATAAGATGACAATCTTAGCTACCTGCGTGTTGAATTTGATATAGGGGCAGCAAGCATCCAGAAGAATCTCCTGTTTAATAGTGCTTTTTCCACTAATTTTTAGCGAGAAGGATACGCTGCCCTGAAGTCCCCCTGATCTGACCACTTTGGCAGGCTCAATGACCTCAACTGCAGGCTTTCTAGGAAAGTAGAGTTATTGCCATCAAGATTATGACTTTAACTTTGGTTCATACAGAGTTCAAAGCTGTATTCATACTGGATCAGAATCTGATCCCACCTGCAGTGACAAGAAACAGGCTCACCTTGTCTGAAGGTGGTAGTCCATCACATCCCAGGCATCCCAATACAGAGGCACATCATCAAACAATGCAAACTGGTTCCCGAGGTAACCCTCAGAAATGGTTTCCCTGGAGTCATAACACAGTTTCTTGCAGTAAGTACTGTGAACAACCTTACAAGATTTTGCACTTTTCTTGAAGGCCCTACATTATGACTCACCTGTTTGCTTGAAGCAAAAGCAGAGATATCAAACGACCCGTTTGGTCTACTGTGGCCTTCAAAAGACCATTCTCCATAATAATAGTCCCATCTACCTGTATCACACAGAGAACCCACAGAATTACGAAAATGTGTGGGTTGAAGAAAAACATGGAATGATGGAATATTTCCAAGGGAATCAAGTACCGTCATTGTGACAGAAACGGAGTCCTTAGGCTTTGCCGTCTCTGTGACTTGAGCTACGCCCACGCTAGGTACTTTCACCAAGGCTGCAGGAAACAGGCAGGGACCATAATAGGGGATGTGGTTCAAAGAGCCTTTCTCTACTTTAATGAAATCTTACCCTATTATTAGATATGAGTAGGAGATGTCTTTGAGGTTGACCGAAAATAAGGTCATTTGAACAATGTTATGTTTTGCCTGTGGGAAGTACCTAATCTTGTTTGAGTGTCCTCCGCTGGCAGTGATATAACTTCAGTTCTTTCCCAAGGTAAAGTATTCAACACAGCTATGCTGGATCCTGCATCTTTCCCAGGAGTGGATCCCAGTTATTCACAAGCAGCAAGAAGAAGTCTTGACCCTGTGGTGCGTATCTCTGAAAATATGAAGTTCATTAGATCATCTGATGATGCAGTCCATTGGGCATACCACAGGCACAGGAAGTGAAGGCGATCTTATGAATAATCAAGATCCAATACAACTCATGTTTGATTTTTCATACTTTGTGGTCTTTCAGCATATTATCAGTCTTTTGTCATCATTTACTCATCATCATGTCGTTCCAAACCCAACATGAAGGAATGGGATGACAGGCAGAATGTTTACACATCTGTTTTCCATATGCACTATATTCCAAGTCTTTTCAAGCCATACACCTTTAGTTATGCTTCCTTCCAAAGCTGCATAGGCGCAAAGTATCAATAATAAATATAGAAGTTGTTGCAACCGGGGAAGTCATTGTCACTATTTTTCCTGTATAATAAATTACTTGCGCCTCAGAGCATGCAGGCAAAATTCAATAATTATTGGTCCGCTGGTTAGTCGGGTGATTTGTTGAGGCAAATTAAAGGGATAGTTCACCCAAAAATGAAAATCCTGTCATTAATTACTCACCGTCATGTTCCAAATTTGTAAGACCTTCGTTCATCTTCGGAACACAAATTAAGATATTTTTGATGAAATCTGAGAGTTTTCTGACCCTGCATAGACAGCAGTGCAACTGATACGTTCAAAGCCGAGAAAAGTAGCAAGGCCATTATTAAAAATAGTCCATGGGACTTCAGTGGTTCAACCTTAATTTTATAAAGCTACGAGAATACTTTTTGTGTGCAAAGAAAACAAAAATAACTTTATTCAACAATTTCTTCTCTTCCGTGTGAGTCTTCAATGCACGTTCATGACAGTACCACTGATGCAGGAGTCAGCGTTCTGATGTAGAACCCAGATGCGCTGTGGCTTGTTTGCAAGCAGAGGAATGCACATGTATGCGTTGTGGTTGTGGTACTGTTGTGAACTGCGTCAAAAACTGATGCGGGAGAGAAGAAATTGTTGAAAGTCCCCCTGTGGTCAAATATTTTATCCCTTAAAACTTATCTTTGATCATCAAAATGACATTTAAATGTTTTTTTTTGTGAAAATAATTTTCTCATGCCTTAAAATAGCTATTTTGCATGTTAGTGATAGGAATCGATCCCTTGACGCGATTGGTTATTGGATTGTGACGTAGCAAACCGAGGGCTGTTTCAAACCGTATTTCTGGGACTGCCATTGGAAAACTACAGTTTTAAGGAGAAAATACTCAGCAATGGTGTTGATTAATGGATTGGCACATGGTTTGGCACACCATTTTAGTTTATGTACGTTGTCTTATTGGATAAAAAACCCCCCCGCATCTGCCTCATTTGAGGGCATGTGTTTTTTGTTTTAATGTGTATTTTAAAATTTTATGCACAGAGAAATCTGCTAGTATTGTGAGCTGAACAGTTCATAATTTAATTCTTATTCCTCCACCATAGCTCTCAAATATGCCATATGAGGATACATTACACTCGTTTTGCGGTCAGCAATACTGAGTGCCACTGGTTCTCATGAGTCTCAAATTTGAGTTTGCAGAAGTGTTATTGAGATTGCTGAAGGGCAATACTTTTAATGACTTAAATTTCAATATACTGCCCACACAAAGCCATCAAAATGATATCAGAAGACCTGGAATACAATGCATGAATTGTATAGACTACTTTTTGGTATTTTATGAGATTGACCCCCCCCCAAGCTAGACACAGACAGTCCCCATTCACTTTGATTTGTATGGAAAAGAACACCCTTTATTTTCCACTAAAGAATGAAAATAATGAAGAGTTGGAACAACATAAAGGTGAGTAATACAATAACTGGATTTTAAACTATTAATTTAATACTACTACTTATTCTTCTAAAATCAATGGTTAGAAGAAAAAATACAGACAGTAGTACAGGCAGATGATTTACCGTCATAGTACTGTAAAGCATCCTCAACTACCATCTCAATACAGCTGCCAGGAATCACGTCATGGAACTAATTGAGCAGAAGCAATCTAAAAAACACCAGAGTCACTTGAGATCTCAGCTATGCAATTATCACGAGGATCTTTGATGCATTAGCACTTACTTCCACAGCTCTTGAAGTTTGCCTGTTGGGTATTTGAAGCCAACTTTTTTACACAAGGCCAGACAGCTAGCCACCTCAATGTCATGAAGCAAAGCTTCACATTGGCGGTTTCCCAATTTTATCTACAGAAAAATAATTAAATGGAGGCATGATCATTCAGACGCTGACATAGTGTTTATATTGGAACACTAGGCATATTAATAAATGATCACTCCCTTTATATATCTGGGCTGGGTTTCTCAAAATCATGACTAAAGTTGATTGTAGAGACCATAGATGGCAATGGTTGTTATGATGAAATTAGGTTCCCAATGCTTTTGGGAAACCCAACCCCCATGAATAATGTTGTGAACTACACTTTCAAGAGAATGTTATCCAATCATAACTGAGGTCATTTAAACACTCTTAAAGGTACGGTAACCAAAAAAGCCTGTTATGTCAGAGAAATGGAAAATGGTCATGTGAAACAAAATTGCTTTAAATGCAAAATCTTGACTATTTTTTTTTTAAAATATGCCCCTTTATGAAATCGTGCACTGAACAATGAAAATTAATGCAGGTGCAATTTCACTAATTTTATCAATTTGGAAGTGCACTACTGGGTTTTGAGAGATGGAAACACACCTTTGCTTGTGTGGTGTAAGTGCCATTATGTAGCTCAAGGAAGAGCTCGCCAACCCACGTACAGAGGAGGGATGAGTCTGATTCCAGCTGAGAGAACAGGACATCTGGACTTGACATCTGGACCCTTGATGACACAATCACGATCATCTCACATCATGACTAAATAAAGACCACCGATTCTGGTAATCATTCATCACTGACGTCATGCATTTGTGTCACAGGCTAAGTGCATTTTAATGTTAGTTTTATTATATTATCTGGTCTAAACAGCAGGAAATTAGTGTTTTTGAGTTACACCCTCAGACAGACGAAAAGGAAACTGACTTTGGCAGACAATCAGTGTCGCGAACACGTTGTAGACGGTCCAGCATAAGTTGTGTGGGGCCACCACCCCCGTCTCCGAAACCAAACAATACCATACTGTGATTGGCTCGTCCCTTGTCTTTATTGTTCTTTACCGTGTTAATCAGCTGTGTTGAGCCAAAGAAAGGAGAAATGAGATGGGTGCTCATTAAAGGAAGCTCTCAAATGATACATCACATGATGACACACTTACATCTTCCACTTTTCCCTTCATCTCATAGGAGTTACCCGGAGGAAAATGAGTGAGAACCAGCGACCCATCAATACCTTCCCAAAAGAACGTGTTATGCTGGTGGAAAAGAGGAAAGATTTATGTGCTTTTAAACGTCAAAACAACCACAATAAGGGGTTTTTACGTGTACAGATGTGGTAGGTACATACCGGGAATGTGTTAACAAGGTTCCAACTTAGCTTTTGAGTAAGAAAACGAGAAATCCCACATCCTTTCATGATTTGAGGCAGCTGTGCTGAGTAACCAAACGTGTCTGGCAGCCCGAACTGTGTGAGGTACAGCAGACAGTGATTTAGTACAGGAAGCGGGTGTGCGTGTGTTTGTGTTTTAGAACAGTGACTAGCATAATACATGAATCTGTGTAGGTAATCTGATTATACACAGATTACACAATACGTAATCCGATTCTACAAACTAAATCGTTGTAATCAGATTACATTTTAAAACACACATCAGATTACAGCTACTATTACTGGTTACATTTTATTCATACAGTGGCAAATCATTATTCATTCTCCTTAATTATTCTTTTTATATGTTTGGAAAATCTTTCAGTTTTGTGGAATGCTGGCCACTAGTCAGGTGGCTATAATTACACTCGTATAATTAACAATGTATTGCTTTTTCTTTAGAAGGCTTTTGTTTTCTTGTTAAAATCCACAAATTATTAATCTAATAAATTGACATGAAATACCTCCTGAGATTTTAAGTTAATATTTCAATAAATTAACAACACATTTAGATGGTCAGGGTTCTCTTATGTCAGTTAATTCTCACATGACATGCAGGTAAACAAAATATTTCATCTTAATTTTATTTATTAATTTAAAACATATTTATAATTTAATTAAGTATTATTCTTTCAAACCAATGTAGAGAAATCCTGACAATGTAATGTTTAATGCACTTCATGCTGTTGGTAAGAAAGAATGGAATATATTTTCTTTCTCTTTTTATATCGATACAGTTCAAGATGATCCTATTTAAATCAATGTAATAAATGAGTCAAACGCAATCTAAAAGTAATAAAAATGGTTTTGTTTCATTAGCTCTTCTCAAGGCCCATTTGTGGGTTGTGTCTGACAGATATACAGCCTCATGTGCCCTCCTTTCAGGTTCTCAAGACCTCCTCAGCCTTGGCAGAGAAAAGATGTGCGCTGTTTTTCTTTCTTAAGCTGTTCTTTCCTATTAAACTGCAGATTTATTTTCAAAAGATATCAAGACCTGGTCAACCTTGCCCCTGAGTTACTTCACGCACCTGCATCAACACTGATAACGAAGTAGAGAAAATATATGAACTGTATTGAGTCATAGGAAGTGAATGTAATTTTTTTAGACAAATAGAGGTACCTCACCTCTTTACAATAATGTCCAAATTCATCCTTGAAGAAGTTCTGTCCGTATAGAAACTGTCTGACCATAGATTCCCCAGACGGCAAGTTGCCATCCTGATACAAAGAAATTTGAAAGATATTTTAACTAGTTCTGAACAGAATGAGGTTAAGAAACGTGCACAAATATTTTCATCCTACCATTTCCACCCACGTGCCTCCGACCGGAATAAACTGGCCTTTCTGCACAAATTGCTTTATGTCTGAGAACAGGCTCGGGTACAAGCTCTTCACCCACTGGAACTGCTGTGCCTGAACATACAACATTTGCTTTTGATGAGATCTAGTGTTTTGTAAAAAACCTAAAAAACCTTTTTACATATTTTATTTGAAGGCTAGGGTACATTTTAGCATACCAACAGCTGTATAAATGAAACATAAAACTACTTTTTCTGTCATAAATAGTGAAGTGAACTAACATTTATTAAATATTACCTTAGTCAATATGGCAGTGACCCATGGCATGCACCACGTGTTGACTCTCCCCATTGCTTTTGATGAGATCTAGTGTTTTGTAAAAAACCTAAAAAACCTTTTTACATGTGAATTAACACAATATTTAGTAAGTTTATTAAGCATTTTCCATTGGCTTATGCCCACAGTGAAGGGGGTTCTTTCTCACTGTGCCTAAAAAGAAAGAAAATCTGTAAGCATAGTCAGAAACATACTTGTGAGCATGTAAAGACAAACTCTGGGTTCTTCTCCATCAGTCTGATCACAGTGACCCAGCTGCGAGCACACTTCCTGATTGTCTCTTCATATGGCCACAGCCAAGCTGAGGAGGGGATTGAAAACATCCAACATGATCTAATATTTGTAATGTTTCCCTACCGTTGAAAATGTTGGAGTTAGTGAGACTTAAATGTTTTTGAAAAAGTCTCTTACACTTACCAAGGCTGCACATATTTTACCAAGAAATAGTCAAAATAAAAAAATTGAAATTATTAAAATTTAAAGCAATTGTTTTTTTAATTTTAATATATTTTAAAATGTAATTTACTTATGAGCTAGACTCCGAGCAGCAGCAAATGAAGTGGGATTGGCTGGATCGCACAGATTCACCATCTCATTGGCTGTAAACAAGGCCTGGAACCCGCGCTGCTCTCCTTCTCCTAGTATCTGTCCAAACACAGTGCAAAACAGACCAGGAACATGTATTTAGTGCATATATTTTTGATTCCCAGACAACTTTAACATCAAAGTGTGACAATACCTTGACAATATCCACTAGCATCTCAAAGTCAGTGAGAAGCTCTCGGACGTCTCGATTGAAAACAACAAGCTCTGCCTTCTGGAGAGTGAACTTCCTGTTTGGGTCGGGGGCGGCGATCATGGAACCTCGCCCGGCTCCAAAAAGTCCATTACATGCAAGTTCCACGTACAGGGTAATGCTGACAATTGAGATTCAAACATGCAGATTGAACCAAATGCATATAGATTCAGGCTATTCTATTAGATTTCCACATGCCCATGAGGTTCACTGTCCTTCAAGCACTCGGTCAGAACATAACTGGTCTTCTCACCTTCTGTGGTCAAACCCTGAAAAAGAATTCACATTGAATGCACTCGTAAACCTTCTGCAAGTCATTCATGAGATCCAGATGCGGCCTTAGTCTCCTGACCTGGACTGGTTGTTGATCCCGCCACACCATTCCCTCTCCATCGCTCTCCCATCTCAGGTGCACCTCCTTCCCTCTCCAGGCCTCGGGGATCTTCAAGACCACTTTGAACCAGCACGTCCACCATCTGTGAAACATTTACAGGCAATATACTACTATATACAGTTTGTTAGACAGTAAACCTTTTACGCAACTTACGTGGGCCCGAATGTGTCACCAACTTTACATGGCTGGAAGTTTTGTTGGACGGCCTCTGAATAAGGAATACGCTTCTCCGACAGGAACACAGAGATGGATTCAAGAGGATGAGTGTCTCCAAACAGTCTGCAGGGAATGAGAGTGTTTAAATCACTGCTCATAACAAACCATCAACTAGAGTAAACAAGGTCAAAGGTCTTTATTAACCATCACGGAATAGTTTACAAGAAATAACTACTAAATAATAATTATTTAACGATATATAAAGTAAAATGTATACGTTTAACCTGAAAAGGGTCCAGTACATTTGCATAAACATGAATAATTAAATAACCAAACAATAATATGCATTGAAAGAGACTGGCTTACCTTCCTCTAAGATTGCAGTCTGTGAAATATATATCGGAGATAAACTTCTCCGCTCGCTCCAGTAGAGTCCGTCTGTTTTTCAGCACGGGTTGGTGGTACATGATTAAAAACTAAAGTGGTTATGAATTAAGAGAGATTAGCTGCAGACGCGTCTCTGCACTTGTACCCGGAAGTACTTTGACAATAACAATCAGCTGTAAATCCGAGTGCTTCGGTCAGTGAACACTAGAGGACGCCATTGCTTTAAGTTTTACAACATCAAAAACTACAGCGCCGTGATATTCAGTCACTTCTGTTTCTTTCTTATTCAGTTTTATCGTCAAAAATATAATGCACAGTATGTATTCAAGTTATCTCCTATTAAGTTTTTGTTTAAAAGTTATGGTTTATATAAGAGCTTGAGGTGAAATATTAGACGTGATGTGTGAATAAAACAAAGACGAGTGACAAACCCAAGAAAAATATCAGAATATTTTAGTTTTTATTGTACTTTTTTTTTTGTTCCGTTTATGCAAAACGTGTTCAAATGTTATTTAATTATAAGTATAGGTCACATAAATACTATGAAATTAAATTTATATTGTATTTAGTTTATTATATATCATCAGATATAATCTCATGTACTTTGTAAACTTAAGATTAACAACTCAAATCAAACAGCTAATCCAGATCGTTCATCGCTTGAAAATGACAGGCAGGTGAAGGTGGATGTTGAAAATCAGGAACGAGCCTTTCGTTCATCAAGCTAATCACTCGAGTCATTATGCAGTCTGGGAAAGCCTGAGCATTCCGGTACATTATGATGCAGGGGCTACAGGGTTTGCATGGGCGTTTAGTCTCATGATTGCTCAGGCAATGAGAGGTCAAAGGTCAACCTACATGCAAGCTGGGGAACAATAGGCCAGTTCTGTGGCGTGTTCAGTGGGAACCGAGAGCGCGGCTCTGCACGTACCCTTTATTTACTCTAATCGGTCCAACAGCACAATAGTAAATACAGGGTGGGGACATCATAACTACCCATCTCAGGCCGCCACATATCCACGCTGAACCAGAACGTCCTCGTTGCCTCGGGCAGAAGCTGCGTTTTCCCACCACATCTGCTTGGCACTGCGCAGAGAGATGTCACATGCCGGCGCACAGCAAAGGAAGGCCACCCTGGCAGATCATTGTATGATGGCTCCTGCTTCGCAAAGCACCAGGTTTGATGTCGACTGGTGGGTTATACAAATGCGGTGAATTACATACTGTATAAAAACGACATATTTTTACTCTCCTCTCGTGTCATCATAGGGTTTTTCGGGTCCTGTTGGATTAGAATGTGGTTGAAGAAGAACAGACCCTTTTTAGAAAATAGACATTTTTGATCTAAATATTGCATGCAACCAGATGGTTTCCTAGCGACTAGGCCTGTGAGTCAAGGACAGAAACGTGAATGATGGAAAAACGGATGGACTGCAAGTGTAATTTGCTCAGGTTTCATCAGATGTTGAGAGGTTATACTTTGGAGACGCTTTCTTCTTTCTCAGCCAGCTTGTACCCATTGGTTTTCTCTTTTTGTTCTTCGGCGTTAGATCTAGTGAACAGAACAGAACACGTGCAGTTTATTGTGGAAATTTGTGGAACAATAAAATGGGTAAACTTGCAATAAGGTGTGGCCACACCAGCAAAATTTCACCGACAAAAATACTGTCGATAGTGTAGGAATGCACAAAGCACCACTTAAAAGAATATTTCACCCCAAAATGAAAATTACCCCATGATTTACTCACCCTCAAGCCATCCTAGGTGTATATGACTTTCTTCTTTCAGATGAATGCAATCTGAGTTATATTAAAAAATGTTATATTAAAAAAACTCAAGAATGTGAAGTCCAAAAAACTGCATCCATCCATGATAAAAAGTGCTCCACACGGATCCAGGGGGCTAATAAAGGCGTTCTGAAGAAAAATCGTCATCCGCTGGAACGTCACTCTCGTGAATGCGCGTACGACAGTTAGTGGAAGCTAGAGTTTACGGCTTATAAGGTGTTAAATATGGATATTTTTCTTACAAAAATGCATCAATTCGCTTCAGAAGGCCTTTATTAACCCCTCAGAGCCGTGTGGAGCGCTTGTTATGATAGATGGACTTATAGATTTTTGGACTTCACATTCTTGAGTTTTTTTACTGATTGTATTCATCTGAAAGAAGAAAGTCATATACACCTAGGATGGCTTGAGGGTGAGTAAATCATGGGGAAATTTTCATTTTTGGGTGAACTATCCCTTTAACACAAGTCATTGTGGAACCAAGCAGAGCTTTCTCTTAGTCAGCGTGAACGACTTCAACAGAAGCGAATTTTTGCTGGGAACTTTTTTTGCCCTCACCTCAAAATCGTGATCATGCAGATTCTTCACAGAGCAACGGTAAATATGACCGCACCTTTAGCTTAATGAAGAATACTAATAAATCAATGTGGGAATACAGCTGGCAGATCATGTTAGAACAATCACCACGTAGTTGGATTTCAACCAACATTTCAACCATCTTACTGAAGATGACTTATCCAACTGGTATGTGCCTGAAGCTCCCTAAATTAATGTTGGTTAATTCTGATGGGATTTTTACAGTGCCGTTACATTACATTATACTCTTTTATGGCATGTGATCTTCACAAATAGTTTATAAATTATTTATAATTCACTCAAGTTGTATGGCTTTAAAAGAGATCAGCAAATAAATTCATAGAAGAGGCATGAATTTCATTAGACGTAGTTGACAATTCACTATAATGGCAAGGAGTTTGTTCATGGCGATGTTTTCCAAAGTTCTTTGCTCAAATATTTTTTTCTTAATAAAACTAATTGTACTTTTGTTGTTACATCTGTGTTTTAAAATATCTAACAAGAGATAAAGTATGCGGTAGACAGACTTGTTTGCAAGGAAAATGAGTTCTTGTCTTTGTGCAAAAAATTGCCTATTTGGCACTATTGTCAATAGTGTTGCAATGTATGAAGCACAGCTCACACAAAATTCACAGCAAATTTGCATGACAAAAATAAGGTGCTGTCATATATTAAAATTTTGTGGGCAAGAAAGTCCATTGTCTATTGTCAACAGTGTAGCGATCTATGAAGCACAGTCACTTTCAAACCAAGCAGTTTTCTGATGGTCAATGCGGCAAAATCTAGTGACCAACTTTAACCTGTTGTGAAATCTGCATGGGGAAATCTTTTGTCCTCAAGTAAAATTCCCCCATTGCACTGATTCCTATTAAAATGACTCCATTTTGATCTTTCTAATAAACGTAACCATTTTGATCCATGTGACCACATCTTTATTTAATTGTGGGGTGAATTTAACACTTACCTTTTTCTCAAAAGACACCAAACCAGTGTAATGATCAGAAGCAGTCCTAGCATAGAGGCCACTATTATTGTTGCTAGAATACCTGAAAGGAGAATTAACCTCATAATTAACAGTATGTTTAATTGTCTCAACTGTGTTTTTAATGCAGCATTGTATTTGTTTTGTACAACTTTGTAAATATAAGTTTACAAAGTGCCATTTTTCATGTGATATATAAAGAATATGATCACAACCTGGTTTAAAATAAATTTTGTGCATCAAATGGAAGTTAGTGACATTAAAGTGAACATGAAATGGCATTTGCAACCCATTTGTTTTCCATAATGTGATGGATTTCAGAGTGAAACAAGATATTCAATTTGACAAAAATGCAGGACTTGATTTTATCCATTGGGAATTGCTGAATTATGAAAAGTTATGGATGAAAGTTATTCTTTTCTTTTTACATTTTTGCATTCATGTTCATTTATGAATCACGCGTGTGAGTTTGAATGCGAATGCATGAAGAAAGTTTTGGGTAAATTCTGATTTCACGTTGACTCAACAGAAGTTAAAAATAACTTGTAACTCCTCAAATAAGCCCAGACCTGCTTCTTTGTTTAGCAGTTCTCAATATGATTAGCAGTCATCACACACTAATGTTACACAACTGACATAATGCACAAAAATACACAAATGTGGCTGTGATTACACATGTGGTGACAAAACCCAGTGTTGTCAAATGAGACACGTATGCACATGTATAGGGCGCAGTGGTTTAAAGTAAAGATATCTGTCAAACACTGCAACACTGCAATTAGAACTAAACCATAGATACGTCAATGATAAGGTCTTAAAGTCATGCTAAGTGCACAAACATGCCCTCTCCATATGTTCAATCTTATGTCAACAGCAATTTTGTTGTGGCCAAAGAGAGTGGTGACGCAACACTGCAGCTACACGTCACTGCATGGCCACCAGCTCATCGCCTCGCATGAGTGTCATAACATAAGACGTCACGTCTGTTAGCCAGGGGTGAGGAAGTGTCTGACATCACAAACACACATGCACACACAACTGTTTGTTTTACTATAACGTACCCCAGCTCATCCAAGTAAAGTCTCCTTGAAGGAAAGAAAAGAAAACTATGAATTGAGAGGAAAGTTTTGTGAATATATTACACATACAAATGATGTGGGACTATTCAAGAAAAACACACACACACATACACACACACACACACACAAGATATATTAATAGATATATTAGTGTTTTAACATTTTTTGTTCATACAGTGAAAGTCAATGGGGTCCAAAACAATATTGGACACCATTGACTTCCATTGTTGGGACAAAAAAATATCTTCTGTGCTCAGTAGAAGAAAAAAAGTCAAACAGGATTGGAATGACATGATGGAAAGTAAATGATGACAGCATTTGTGGATAAAATCAGAAAATGCACTACTGCAGATCCTACAAGCTCCAAAGATTCTGATATTCTTTTAACTCAATACAAATACAAATATAAACTTAAGCCATTGCACTTTATAATATTCAGACATCACTTCTGAACACCATTTAGAATATAAACAGGGACATGTTTGTCCTTTACAAGTGGAAAAAGTGATACATTTTTAATTGACGTTTATTTTACAATCCATGATCTAGACATTTCACAAAGAATTTTATAGACCAAAATCTGAGTCAGTGTCCAAAAAAAGGTTACGCTGTCTGCTGTCTCTATGGGTTCAGATCACACCTAAAAAAACAGTACCACACAGCATTCGAGAACTTGAGAATGTTAAAATACTTTAAGTGCTGATTTTGCCCCTTTGTCCCTTTTAATTTGCGCTTGACTCTTTGAACTTTTCCCAATAAAATGTAAAAATATGCCCTCACCATGATGGTCTTCTGTCTTTTTGTGCATTGCACATCATAATTAAAATTGTTTGAGCCGTATTCTCCCACAAAAACCTTGCTAATGCTTAAAACAGACCAGCTTTTAGTCTAGACTAATCATTAGATAGTTAATCTGGATCCTGAAGGCTGGAAATTGTGTGGTCCTGTCGACATCCATCTAGCAAAAGCATACTGTCCAGTTCATTGGAAAGTAACTACAAAGTTTTCATAACCAGCGGCGTAACATATCATGAACACTATTTGCTCAACAAGTCATTTCATCTACTGCAAAAGCAAAACTAGAGTCTTAGAGACAGTGTTAGAGGGTACCATCAAACTAAATAAATATTACTCAAATGACATGCTAGCCTTAGGAGCTGACTTGACTATATGAATATTGTGCGTGACAGCGTACTGCAGAAATTTAGGCCCTCGGGGGAGGACCGTGGCCCTCGCTGGGTCTAATCTTCCCATTCAGCACGTTGAGGTCTGTGGTAAGTCAAGGCTGAGTTGAAGTCCTTCGGGATTGTGGCTTGAGGATGCCCTATGGTGGTTTTCATGTTTGGGTTTCTATGCTGGTTGATTTGCCTCCTCATCTTCTTCAGCATGGCTTCAGCCAGTGATTGTTCGAGCTCGGCGGCTTCGTCCCGAGATCTTCCTTGTATGAGTTTTCTTATGGTCTGAAGGTCTAGATCAGACCGGCAGTACAAGTAACTCCTGAGGTTCAACTCCGGGAAGACGACCTCTCTCAGAGCTTCAACCATCAGACCCTTTGCATGGTATCTCTCGAGTTTGTGCATGACGTTCTCCTCCAGGGATACAAAGCATATCCCTTTATCCGTATCAAATGCTCCCATATACCACGGTGTTGGTGTGTTCTTCCCAACGGAAGAGGAGTAGCCAGTATTGCTCTGCACCTTGTTCTTTGACCACTGCTTTTTCTGAGTTGCCTGGCTCCAGTGTCCCTGCTTCTTGGTCTTCTTCAATTTCTTATCCTTTCCCGGTTGGGGACTCAACTTTGGCAGAAGTTGGTAGAGTCCCTCGTCAGCCAAATCCGCAAGGTCACCCACCAGAAGTTTCTGGATGACTTGCTTCCTCTGAAAGGGGGATGCCGCTGAAAGAATACCATGCAGTCCTGCACCAGACACAATGTAGAGAGGTGTTCAAGCTTAGCATTGCAACGGAGGACTGCTAGGGTAAAACTTTACTAGTGCAGGGGTTGGAAGGAAAAATGAAGGACCGAGCTTTCTTCTCCATAATTTAGCTTCTTAAGAAACATTGCCATGCAGTAAAGAACGCAGCAAGTGGTATAGATGAATTTAGCCTTCATGCAAGGATGTTAGCAAACAGCAAGACTGAAGCGGATCACAAGCCTCCGGTAATGACAGCAAACCCAAACTTCTCTCATAGCAACAAAATGCCTGACATTTAGAAGTAAACTCTGTGGTGCACCAACTCTAAAACCAGGTTTGGAGGGAAAGATTTATGCCAGTTGAAGCATCTCATTTAAAACCCAGCATTTGTTTCAAAGGAGCCTGCAGCAGCGAAGGTCTTTCATTCAGGAAAAAAGGTAACAGTGCATAAATGGAGGCCTTACGCAGATGTTGAAAGAGAGACAAAGCCAACTTGAAAGCTCATATTCCTATCAGTTCTTTGATAGGAAACCATGGCACTCATATAAAGCTTCTCTTCAAGCATTGCAGCATATATTTTAACACTTAGGCTTCCTGGCCATATCATACAAAATCAAATTGCAATCTAGACACTACTTACCATCCTTGAAGGAAACCAGTACCACTCTGTTATCTGCGATTTGTGGTTTCCGGTAATTTCCGTGAAGTGGCACAGTAGTAGACTCTTGGGCATAAGAAGCGTACAGAGCTGTGGCCAATGCCAAAAACTGTAAAGACACAACAGTAACATTACTACACACAATATAGACCGCTGAGACTATTGACTCGGAGTTGCAAGTCACACACAAAGAGTCAAGGTTTGGCTAGTTAGGTGTTTGCAGTTATGCCATAACTACATGCACTACATCTATTGACAACCATTTAAAAGTAGCTGTGTATTCTGACGAAATAAACTTTTTTCCAAGTACCATGTGAATCATGTCTGCTGCTAATGGATAGCTTTGCCCCAGATATCATAGACCTACTTGGTCGTACTAAAAAGCTCATTAGCTTGCAGTGCAGATGAAATGTAGATTTAATAACAGTTGCCCGATTTGATTTCTACTAAACCACCTTTTCTCGAAAGCAAAGCAGTACCTATTTTCGTGAAATACCTGTTTTCTTGAAATGGTGACCGGTCTCCTAAACACGGTCCATAGTACACTGGGATAGCAGGGCGGTGTGGTCAAAGAACCATCGTAGCGGTAATACTCATCCAAACGGGCCGGTAGCAGCGCATGGATGTTAAATGCTGTGACCTGTATTTTCTGATCTGTCAGTTCACAGGTTAGCAATAGGCGAGTGTTAGCATACTTGTGTTGTGCACATCCCAATCACAGATATTTGAAACTATATGAAAGTAACGTACCTCTGTACTTTATCCCATTCATGTATTTGAAGAATTTGTCGAAAGCAGGGTTGAACTCTCCAATCTAAATGATATAAAACACTGACTCATTAGAAAATAAGAGTTACGCTGGAAAATTTGTTGATGTGACTTTTAAGCACTTATTACAAGAACTTATTACAGGGACAATCACCCTAAATTACCGAGAGTTAAATGCCTTGCGGTGATGGCTTATTGCTCAGTTCTTGCGGGAATAAAACCAGTAAACTTCCGAGCATCAACCCTGAGCCTTAACCACTGCACCACATCAGTCGCAGTGGTTTGAGGTCTGGACTCACCTCAATGAAAACTCCCAGCACAGCCAGTCCATCATGCTTGTCCACTGCCATTGAGATGTTGGGGTATTTGTCAGAATTGAAGTGTACTACATGCATCTGGATACAACAGAAAAAAACGTGGCTTTAAAGAGGAATCATAAGTAAGTAAATCAATCAATCAATCTGTCTGTCTGTCTGTCTGTCTGTCTATCTATCTATCTATCTATCTATCTATCTGCCAAGCTCATGACCTAGTGCTGAATCTAAAACTGAAAACTTTTGCAGTGGAATAGCCATATATTGCAATAGCATTTGTCGACTCGTTTGGACATGCCGTTTGATTGGCTAAAGAATTTTATAAGAAAGCCATAAATTCTATTCTATTTAGGGCAATTCACAGCATGTGCCCTCTGGCCTCTGGAAGGAGAGGCAACAGGCAAATATAAAAGGGCAGAGGTCTGAGAGAAATACCATACACTACAGAGCCACAATGACTGTAAATCCTATCTTTGGGAACACATTTATGTGTGTTCTATTAACACAAACTGTGCAGGCATTTTCCCTGTCCTAAAGTGATAAACAGAGATAGAGTGATTACTATTTGGGACACCTCCATACATGTTACTGAACATTGCATCATGCACTGTTGAGTCCTGACTTTTCAAATCCTCTATAATGGGCTTATGCAATTGAAAGCAGTTTGATCCTGCACTAAAGGTGTTCACAGTAATGGACGAGGTCTCCTCTTTGGGGTGTGCGTGTACATATTTACTTTACCTCTCCAGCAAACCGTTTGCCATTAACAGTGTGTTCTGATCCAGTCAGCAGATTGGAAGAGCCCCAGTGGAAGTGGAGCTGAGCTGCTGAATATCTGTGAGGGAGGCTGGAGATGTACATGTGAGACGGCAAAGACAACTGCACTGTGGGTACAAAGGAAAGAAATCATGCATTTCACCTTTAAGGTATGGTCACATGCAAGACAAAAAGGTCTATTGTGGCAAATGCATCCAATTCGGGTAAAAAACTTGAACCTAATGCAAAATCTGCATGGGGAAATGTTTCGCTGAGTCAAAAGAGACCATGCCCCAAGTCAGGTCCATCTTTCAATGTAAAACTATGTTTTTTTCCTGGGTTTAGTCTGTCAGGCATACAAATCTTAAATGTGGCCACTGCTACAAGTAATATTACATGCTTCCTCAACAAGCCATACGATTTCCGGTGTCCACAGCAGAAATGGTACAAGGAAAGTTTAATATTTAAAGGATTAGTTCATTTCAAGAATACAAATTTCCTGATAATTTACTCACCCCCGTGTCATCCAAGATGTTCATGTCTTTCTTTCTTCAGTCAAAAAGAAATTAAGGTTTTTGAGGAAAACATTCCGGGATTTTTCTCCATATAGTGGACTTCAATGGGAGCAACCGATTGAAGGTCCAAATTGCAGTTTCAATGCAGCTTCAAACAGTTTTACATGATCCCAGCCGAGGAATAATGGTCTTATCTAGCGAAACGATCATTCATTTTCTAAAAAAATAAGAATTGTCCAACATCGTTCTTTCACCTTTTTTTGTAAAGGGCATTTGACTTTCTTTGCACGTTTGCTTGTAAACACTGGATCGGTACTTCCGCCTAAGTCACACATGACCTTTCCAACGTAACTGCGTAATGTGTGAATCGAGCTAGTGCAAGATGAGCATTTGTGGTTAAAAAGTATATAAACTTTTACTGATCGTTTCGCTAGATAAGACCCTTATTCCTCAGCTGGGATCGTGTAGAACCCTTTGAAGGTGCACTGAATATGAAATTTGGACTTTCAACCCGTTGGGTCCCACTGAAGTCCACTATATGGAAAAAATCTTAAAATGTGTCCTCAAAAAACTTAATTTCTTTTCGACTGAAGAAAGAAAGACATGAACATCTTGGATGACATTGGGGTGGATAATTAACAGGCCTGCATATCGAGATTTCTATTTGACAAATTCCGCAAGCTTTTCAACTAATAATCCTGCCTAAGTTTTCCCAAAATAAGTCTGTAATGGCTCTGAAACCCCAAGCACAGTGGTACACTGTCAGGAAACCTCATCAGTATTCATCCTCGTGGCAGGACCTCTGTGGCAGCAATGCACACTTGCTGTAGTTAACTATACATTTCCCTCTCTTTCGGACCAGACACTACTCTTTGGAGTGAGAGTGGATAAAATAAAAGAGTGTCTTAAGTAAACAATCACAGTCGAGAAATGGTAGATGGAACAACTTCAGTCTGTTTAATGCACTTTTGACCAAAAATATAGCCGAAAATACCCATTACCTAGAAAAGTAGCACTTGTGATGTTGTTTAAGACGTTACCTCGAATCACAACTTTGCCATATTTTCCAGACTAAAATACAAACAGGTTTGTTTTATCATAATAAGCGGGTGATTATGGGAAATTGCTATGGCAGACATGCAAAATAGATCCTTCTATCATTTTCTCCACATTGACCTAGAAATTAAGCTTGAGAAGAAAGACTATTTTACCTTTATGTATGACACACTGTCTCATTAGTTTAACAACCACAAATCCTTTAATCTATTGTAGTGAAAGAAAGGTCTATGTTTTCGCTCAGACATTACAATATGAAATGTAATATCTAAAAATCTACGTTTATAAGGTACGTAATGTGACAACAGTTATTAGTCGTCTTTAAAAAACAAAATGCTCTATAATCATACTGCACCAACCAGAGTGGCCGTTGTTGCTGAGAGTGAGCTGTTCTTTGGTCGCCAGGTTGTAGTTCTGGACCTGGATGGGCGGCAGGTTTGGATCGTATCTCAGCAGCTGTGTTTGGAAGTCGATGGGTGACTGAAATGCTCCTCCACAAAATGGGTAGTTGCTGGACCAGTTGTGTTCTCCATCAGGTCCTGTAAAAAACAAAATGCTCTATAATCTGTACCAACCAGAGTGGCCGTTGTTGCTGAGAGTGAGCTGTTCTTTGGTCGACAGGTTGTAGTTCTGGACCTGGATGGGCGGCAGGTTTGGATCGTATCTCAGCAGCTGTGTTTGGAAGTCGATGGGTGACTGAAATGCTCCTCCACAAAATGGGTAGTTGCTGGACCAGTTGTGTTCTCCATCAGGTCCTGAAAGTAAAAGTCAAAGAAAGCTGTGGTTAACGAAGTGACCGTTTCTTATCTGGCGGTGTACGTTTGAACTTTTGATGTGGCCAGAATTGGACTGCATTAAAGTTTTGCTAAGACACAGGCTAAGGTCAGCGGTCACAGAACACTGCCTTACAAAATGAATGCCCTTCATGAATACCACACCCAACAATAAAAGATAATGTTTTGCTTTGGGGGAGGCTTCGAAGTCATTCCAACAGAGTATAAATTTGTCTAAGAGACATTTCTAGTGCATTGTAGAGAAGAGGGTACGGAAAAAGTAAATTTTTTATTAATATGGCAAAGTTTTGAATTAAAATAATAATTACTAGGCTTTTTAAATGCAATTGTCATTGTTTTCTGCTACTGAAACAGTGGCAGTAAAAGTGGTTTCCTGTCGCTGTGGGCTTAAAGCATCACATTAAGGGCTTGTGTATTCCTTGTCAATGATGATCATGGTTTTGTGGGCAGCTTTTGTTTTCTGGACTGCCGTAACTGTGAGACTTCAACACAGTGTTTCTTTTAGTAGCTTAACATGTTCCTCCCTTGTGGTCGCAATTACTCACTGCTCAGTTCATTTCTAATCTGGACTAGCCTCTCCATCCTAATCACATCAGATGCTTGTGGCCGGCCCTAAGAGGTTCATAACCCTAAATCATAACTGCTATGCAGTCATAATGAGCAGACCTCTACAGTAAAACATATGCAGCTCTCTGGTCTGGATGTGTTGGACATTAACACAATGAACTGTTTGAAGCTGAGTTCATGCTGCTATTTGCAACAAAAGCCATAAGTTAAAGAGTTAGTTCACCCAAAATGAAAATCCTGACATTAATTAATCACCCTCATTTTGTTCCAAACCTGTAAGACCTTCGTTCATCTTCGGAACACAAATTAAGATATTTTTGATGAAATCTGAGAGCTCTCTGACCCTCCATCGACAGCAACACAACTGACACGTTCAAGGTCCAGAAAGGAAGTAAGGACATCATTAAAATAGTCCATGTGACATCAGTGGTTCAACCGTAATGTTATAAAGTAACAAGAATATGTTTTGTGCGCAAAGAAAACAAAAATAACCACTTTATTCAACAATTTATTCTCTTCCGTGTCAGTCTTCGATGTGCGTTCACGAGAGTTTCACGATGTATGCGTGTGGTGCTGCTGACGTAGAAATTACGGTTGAACCACTGATGTCACATGGACTATTTTAACGAAGTCCTAACTACCTTTCTGAGCCTTGAACATGTCAGTTGCGTTGCTGTCTATGCAGGATCAGAAAACTCCTGAATTTCATTAAAAAATATCTTATTTTGTGCTCCGAAGATGAACAAAGGTCTTACGAGCAGAGCCAATCCTACCTATACGCAAGCTGCGTAGGGCCCCCGAAACACCAGGGCGCCCCCTTTTGCTCTCAAAGATGATTTAATTTTAGTTTGGTTTTTTAATTTGGCCAGCGGTTATGAAAACATGAATGATCATTTCTTTTAATGCGGTGCGCTGTTGCCCTTTCTACGTAAAAATCAGTCAAATCATGTAATGTGAATGTCGTACAGTCTTGCTCAAGACTAAAAAAACGAGTTGAAAGCGTACCGAGCCGCGGAAGAGACACTGTTTCGAGACGGAGTGAAACCCAAATGTGTTTCATTCATTCGTCCATAACCACTCATACCCCACTCCCCCCACCCCCCCAACCGACACACTTTTGCGTAGGGCCCCCAGAAGTCTAGGATCGGCACTGCTTACGAGTTTGGAACGATGAGTAATTAATGACAGAATTTCCATTTTTGGGTGAACTATGCCTTAGTGGTATTGCCCTTATATTAAAATAAGTTATTCATTGAATTAAATTTTATTAATTTTAAATAATTAAATTAAATACATTTAAATAATCTAAATAATTAAATAAATTCTAATTAAATTAAAAAATATTAGATTGAGATAATTTGGGGTTTATTACGACTTGTCATTTTTGATCAATTAAATGCCCTTGCTTAATAAAAGTTTGAATTTCTTTAAAACAATCTTACAATCCCCAAACTTCTGCCAATTTTAGTAAAAAATGTTAATATATTAAAAATGCCACACAGAGACGCACAGAGTCCTAGTTTTTAACCAATTTTGCTTGAGGTGGAGCCTTATTGTTACTTATTTACACATGACTATACTCTGGAATCATCTATACTCAGGAACATTTCTATGTCTAAAATATCCGAGTTCAAATCTGAGTGCGAGTCCAAATACCCCAACTCTAGTTGTTAGGGTGTTCTGGATGTTCGTTATCGACTCAAGTAAAAAAAAAAACTCATCCTAATCTCTAAAATATTCTCTGCTCAACAAGCCACATGACTGAAGTTTCATTCATGTCTGTCTGGGATAAATTATGCTAAGATAATAATCTCATCTAACTTTTTCGAGCATTTGTGCATCTGTTTTCATCTTAGACCTCAGTCAGAGATGTGTTTGATGCCATTATGTCCCTTGTACATGATTGAAAACGGCCTTGACTCAGCAGAATTAATTCAGACTCTGAATGTCAAGAGCTCTCAGTGTTAGCCGGCACAAAGGACAACACTCATCTGAGCTCTGTCTGATGGGCATGATAACATCTACACAACAGCACAAGCACTGTAGTGTTTCTCGTTGAGCTATTCATCATGGTATTTCAAACAGTGGTCAGTTGGATACTTCACTCAATTTGTCACATTGTCCGCATCTCAAAATATATACATTAACATTTTAATGGGCAAAAAAAATCCATAGACTTACATTTTGGACCACTCACTTAGAACACTCAAAACTCTTTAGCGTCATATCTCTGACTTCTGCATGAGAACCACTCGTGTTTTTTTCAGAAAATGCAAAGATCTAGTTTTAGTAGCAACTAAACTTAGCAATTCGCTTAATGAGGGTGGTTGGTTTGATAATCACATCGTCTAAAATTTTTAGTCTACGAGCCTAAATACAGCACATTACAAGGTAGTCTGACTTTGTAGGCACTGTAAATTTGCACACAGAAGTGAAAATTATTTCACAAGTTTAACTGAAGGGACAGAAGAGATTCAGCTTGTAAATTGCAATGTGCCACACACAAAGACAGAATAATATTATGCATTGTTCTTTCCTAAGTATAGGGAGCTATGAAATTTCACAGCCAAGCAATTAGACGAACAATCTCCTCCCAAAATAAAGTCATTATAACAGCTGTTTTGCAGTTGAGGTCCCTTGAGTCGCATTATATCTTCAAACCAGTCATAAAATAAATCAAAACAAGACATGTAATGCAATTACATAAAAGTGTGTAATTCAATTCTGTGTTACTCAATGATTCAACAAGTCTACTTGCAAAGTCAGTGAGAACACGTGAGTGACAGCGGCATGAGGAGAGAGCTGGGTGGAATGACACAAGAGCCGTGAGAGCCAATAGGGGTCAAAATGGGGTCATCTTTGTACCACGAGATCCCATTTTCCAGAAGCAACATGTTCTTTGATACCTCCTTCATGGCTGCCAGAGGGTCTCCATGTGCACACTGGTATGGCATACTGGGATTGTTAGAGATAACGGTGAAAAAGCCAGCCCAGGAATAGTCTTGACTCATGAGGATGGCAACCAGAAGCCTGTTTGGTTCCCTAGGTGCAGGCAATAGAGCAGAACACTGCCACAGCGGCCGTGATTAAGCATGTTTATTTTAAAGCTCTTCAGTGTGTAAAGAGCACGTTTTGCTGGTCTCTGTAGCAGATGACTGGATGACCTTTTCTACTGAGGTGAAAACAACTCCATGTGGTCATTGTAAGAGAAGGCATTACAACTCAATTACTTACAGTTAGGTGATAACCTAAGCTAAAAGTTTCATGATTCCTCCATCTTGCATTTGATGGGATGAAATAAACATGATCAACGTTTCATATACATTTTTAGTCAACTTTTTGATTTAAAGGAGTGTTTGATGGTGTCTCTCAGTAGTGAAAATGGCGTAATATTTGGTCCAATTAATTTCAGGGTATCAGTTGGAGTTGTTTGTTTGAATGAATCAAATAAAAAATGATTCAATGATTCATTTGCTTCATTAAACGGTTCACGGAAGTCTATATGTGTGGCATTTTAAAGGGGTCATATGATGCGATTTAAATTTTTCCTTTCTCTTTGGAGTGTTACAAGCTCTTGGATATTTAAGTAAAAATATTCAAAAGTTCCGTGATTTTTTTTTAAAGAAATTAAAACTTTTATTAAGCAAGCACACACTGAATTGATCAAAAATGACAGCAAGGAATAATTCATCTAATTTGACTAATTTAAAATCTAGCTAATTCAAAATGCAGTTCTTTTGAACTTTACATTTGTCAAAAAATCCTGAAAACATGCACCACAGTTTCCTCAAAAATATTAAGCAGCCCAACTGTTTTCAACATTTATAATAATGAGAAATTCTTCTTGAGCAGTAAATCAGCATATTAGAATGATTTCTAAAGGATCATGTGACACTGAAGACTGGAGTTATGATGCTGAAAATTCAGCTTTGCATCACAGAACTAAATTACATTTTGTAAATATAATAACAGAAAACAGTTATTTTAATTTGTAATAATATTTCACAATACTAGTTTTTACTGTATTTTTGAACAAATAAATTCAGTGAGCATAAAAGACTTACATCTATCTATCTATCTATCTATCTATCTATCATGCTTGTTTGTCTTCATTTAGTATGGAAACCCTGCCATTCTTATATTAATATTTTAAATAGCAACAATGGTTATTTCATTTAAACAAATAAATAAATGAAGGGTCTACTTACCATTATATGTCCATTTTGCCCCTGAAAAAAAAGAGACAGAGACAAATATTAAATGCTTTTAAAGTTTCACTCAATTCAGTCATAAATCAGTCAGATAATGCATTCCACTGCAGCTGGACTTTATTCTGGCTGCAACCTGCAGCTCTGGTCGCTGCTGGCTTCTCACAGTCAATCTGGCTGACAGGCTGAGCCAGACTCTTGCTGGTCTTTCCCAGAGATTTCTGGTTGACAATGAGATTCCCCCGGAGCATGTATAATCTGTCACTGCTTAAAATTCTAAAGAGCAAGTCACTGGAAATCAAGGCATTCCTCTGATTAAAGTTCATAAGTTTAATTTAAATTGATGGTGACACAGAGTCTATAATGAAATGCAAAGCATTTTTGTGCAACTATTTTTAACTGTAAAGTAATGGACATTTTTTCCCAAATGACACAGGAAATTATGATATTTTCTCAATATGAGATTTAGAGTCCAAACAGGAAGCCGCAAAAATGTACTGAGCAATTTGGTCATCGCTTTTATTCACAAAAGTTAATCTACCTTGCTACTGTAGGACCACAGGTTTTTCCTGAACTGACTCTTTGGGGAAGATCTACAGAAAAGATATTAACAGCGCAGTTAAGTCGGCACCTGAGCACTAATTTGGCGTGACAAATGTTTCACCTGTGGTTTTCAATACACTGAGGTCATTCGAGGTCATCTGTCAGATCTGCAGACACAGCCTTGCTAATTCAAAGCATTTTGGGGTTCTGTAAATTTATAATTACACATTATGATTTTACATGTTTTTACTTTACTCCCAAGGTTGTTCATTTATGGAAACAGCCACTCATTCACCCACTCATTATGTTAACAACTTAAATGAACTTCCAGGAATCTATATTTGATGTTCAATTTTCTTCCAAATGCTTCTACACCAATATGAGACCATATCTTCCATTTAAAGTGATGCAAAATGTTGCAAGTTTTTACAAAAGGTTTTTACTGCGTATATGAAAAAATACAACCATTCACAAATATGCATCAGAAATTAATTTTCTTAAAGTGCTTTAAAAGAAAGTAACAGAAATAAGAGTGTTCAATATTTCTGCAGTATGCAAATGTCACATCTATAAGCCCCTTTTTTTTTTTTTTTACAACAAAAACCTATAAAATAAGGTAGGCTACCACATAACTTAGCAAACATTTCCACATTCTATAGGCTAATGTTGAACATATTTTTAATAATTCACATTTTCCGTTATTCTTTTATATGTAGGCTACAATGTTGAATGCACATGCAGTACTGACCTGTTAAGTGATAGGTTATCATGTTTCTGACCAATCAATGGAAGTTAGGCTATTATAACGTGAGTTCTGCAAGACTTACCTGTGGACTCGAGGGGACACGCGATCAAGATGATGAATAGAAGTGTAAGTGTCATTGCAGAGAGGTACCGGCTGCTTCTCAAGTGCCCTCAGAAGTCGACTCAGAAGAGAGAAACGTTGACATAGCTGTCGGAACCGGCTCTTATATCAAGCATGCTGCGCTCGCGAGTTAAACAAACTGACGTCACGGCGATGACAGAGCAGCGCCTCAGACTTCATACAAATCTGGGGCTGTGCCTCGAGCTAGTGTGCTGCCTACCCAGACAGCATCAGAGGAGCACAGCTTTGTCTTAACCCTGATAAATAGCTATTAGCCACACGCTCTCAAACCGGCAATTTTAAAACTCCGCAAACAAGTTACAATAGAGCGTCATCTGATATGAGAAAAAAATTACAGTTTATATGACAGTGATTATATCTCCATATTGCAGCATTTGCTCGGTGTTTACTGTGCCCGCAAATAACATACTGCGTTATTATAGGTGTCTAGCCTATGTATATTGTGGGCATCGTGTTTATTGTGCAACTGTATACGTTTTGCTGCTATTGTATCATAATGTATGGCTATTTATCTCTCAGTCCATGCGCACGAAACGCCGCTCAGCCAATCAAATTCGTGAACCGGAATTAATTGTTGCAGGCCTAAATCATCATCATTGTAATTATTATTATTATTATTATTGATATTGACAAGCATATACTATTATACAGAAGCACAACAATCATTTAGTTTATAGTTGAACAATAATTTAAATTAATAATAAAAACTTGCAATCCATAACTGGGTAAACATCGGACTTAACTAATGTTGAGTTAGGCAAATGTGTGTGTGTGTGTGTGTGTGTGTCACAGCCATGCCAATATACAGCCATATCTCACGTCTACTCGTGTGATATTGTTCATATATATATATATAACCAGGGAAAAAGTTTCAGTTATTTTGTTGACCTTTTGTGACAGATTCTGTAAAGCGTCATCCCTCTAAAGATGTAATGCATAGGTGTGCAGTATTGTATTTTCTCAGTAGGAACAGGAAAAGTGGATTTTGCCCATCTCTGTTTTCCCCCATCTGGTGACCTTTGACGTTGATGAAACAACTTCAAATAAGATTTTTTTTAAACTTATTTTAGCTTTGAGAAGAGGAAAAAAATTTAAGATAGAAATATATGGGGCAAAGAATAAAAAAAGAAAAAGAAAAAAGAAAAAAAAAGCCTAAATTAAAGGTTTGTGTTTCATTCTTGTTTTCCTATTGTTTAAATTTTGTTGAAAAGTCATTTTAAATCATTTTAAAAAACACACGTTGCAAATGATGCTGTTAAAATCACTGTCAATAAACAGCAGGTTCTTATTTTAACAACTTAATATGTCCTGCTATAGAGGCACGTTAGCCCAAATAAATATTCACTTTAGTGAAAAGTGTCATAAGTAGGTTTTCTTCTTTTTAATTTGATGTAATATTATGTCAAAAATTGTCTTAACCAATACCTGCCATAATTTGAAGGAAAAAAATCCATGCTGTAAATAAGGTTCTTGAGATTTGTTTTTTAATACACACTGATATACTTTATAATGTCACTACGAGCTAAATCTATCACATACGTGTGTCACACACTATGTGAATCACCCACTGGAGACACATGGATGATCTTTTAGTGAACCGAAGGTCAAATGGGGAGAATCCCTCAGTAATTTACCATCTGAGCCACTCAATATATCCAACATTTTTAAAAGCCTACTTATACAGTATACATGATGGGACTGAGGAATAACAGCGTTAAATTATGTTTTAATTTACGTTCTGTAAAGTAAGGAACAGCCAATGCTGAAACCTGAATCTCTACGCACATCATTTGTGGGGCCTCTTACTGGCACCGTGCTGGATACTATTTTCATCTGTAACCTGTGAAGAATTCTCCCATAGTAAGGTACACAAAAATGGCCATTATTATATTATATTATATTATATTATATTATGTTATGTTATATTTGTCTTCTGCTATATCTATACACTTTGAACTTAATTTATTTTTAATTCTGCACTAGACAAATGCTAATTGTGTTTAAAGGAATAGTTCAACCAAAAATTTTAATTTCCTGAAAATGTGCTCACCCTCAGGCCATGAAGATGTAGATGAGTTTGTTTCTTCATCAGAACAGATTTGGAGTAATGTAACGTTACATCACTTGCTCAGCAATGGATCCTCAGCAGTGAATGGGTGCCGTCAGAATGAGAGTCCAAACAGCTGATAAAAATATCGCAATGATCCACAAATAATCCACACCACTCCAGTCCATTAATTAAACAATCAGTTAATGTCTGTTGAAATTAAAAAGTTGTCTCATCTGAATCAGGAGAGAAATATGCACAGATCAAGCAAACAAGCGAAAATATGTTATGTATTATGGACTTGTATTTTAGCTGGAACTTGTGATGGTTTAAAGTAAAAACATTTTAATAATGCATTTGTTTCTTACAAACAAGCAGCTTTTCACTTCAAAAGACATTAACTGATGGACTGGAGTGGTGTGGATTACTTGTGGATTATTGTGATGTTTTTATCAGCTGTTTGGACTCTCATTCTGACGGCACCCACTCACTGCAGAGGATCCATTGCTGAGCAAGTGATGCAATGCTAAATTTTCCAAAACTGAAGAAGAAACAAACTCATCTACATCTTGGATGGCCTGTGGATGAGTACATTTTCAACAAATTTTCATTTTTGGTTGAACTGTGTCATTTGACTGATTACTGCTTGTAAAGAAAGAATGCAGAACAATAAAAATTAATTTTACTGCTGTCTCTTGGCATAACAGTCTCTGTCAATCAAGTTAACAACACTGTGAATCTACAGTAACATAGGTCTGTTGTTGTGTTTGTGTCTTTTTTTCTATCAAAATATAGGTAACGTAAAAGTATATTGCTTTTTAAATGCTAATTCAAATTCCTAAATGAATTGAGGTAAACAGAAATTCAACTCAAATTTGAATGTAGGAAGTAGAATAAAATTAACCAGAGAACCAGGAAACAGTAGGCCTACAAAGTGGTGAATGAAACCACTGTCTCATGATTTTGTAGGCCACAATTAATCACCTGCCCAAGTGTAAAATTCTAGGAAACCATTAACATCTACAGAGAAGCTTTTCACCAAATTTGAGAGATTTAGTGAGATTTAATTTTGATGCAAGAGACGTCTTGTGATATGTATAGATGGGCTTCACTTCATCTGTCTATAGCTGGGAAGTTCAATGTTTTGAAAGTGTAATACAAATGTTTCGTGCAGACTCTCCTTTTTGAAGTTCTTCTTTCTCTCTTTGGAATGGTAAACAACCGCAGTTACATTTTCAGCTTTTCAGGTATTTACAGCTTCGGCATTTACTTTAGTCTTGATGCAAAAGACTTAACAGCATTAATGGAAAAAAAGATCCCAACTTGATATTTGAAGATGACGAATGATATATAGAATTTAAGAAGTTTTAAACCTGTAAAATCCTGTTAGTTTTACATAATTCTGTAAAATACACACGAAGCAACTTTAAAAAATAAACTGTACATTTTATTTGAAAACTGTTGCAATTTACAAAACCAAATTTAAACCAGTAAATCCAACCGTCACTTTCTGCTGAATTAGCATAACCAAGCTGCTACCAAAATCTGTTTTGATCCTTTAACATATACTGACAACCAGCATAATAACACAGGTGGTAAAGAGAAAGACACATGGAGAATCCAAGTTCATCATAAGCTTTTCCACAAGCTGAGGTAAATCCTAATATGTAGAAGATGAACAGTGTCATACACACAACCACAAAACACCATGGTAACACACAACACTAAAATAATACAATAAACATTCATTTTACAACATAAGATATATAAACCGTAATGAACTTGTAACAAAACCGAAAACACACTTATTTACATGAAATACCATCAAATGTGAAATGTTACACAGGGAATGTCAATTATAAGTTGACTTGTTCTTTGTATTTTCCAAACCTGTAAATGTCAGTATTGTATTGTAAAATTACATTTGATGTTCTGATAGATCCGTTTTTCACCATAGTAAGTGAACATACTGTTAAGCAAATAACAGGTTTTTACTGTAGTATTTTTTTTTTTTACAATTATAGTAGTAATATAGTAGTAGTAGTAGCGGACGTTCTTTCACTCCGTTTCTCCGGACTCAAGCGTATGGACTGTGTCAGAAAGCGAACACGCATCTCCAGTGTACTGTAGACAAGATAGCGCCAGATCCAAACTAGCCGTTATTGGAGCTTGATTAAATAAATGCTTTGTTTATAATGAGGAGGACGTTTTAAGCTATGAAACCTGCATGATGTTATAATGGTACAAAGTGCCAAATGATCAAGGCAAAAAATATGCCAAAAGATCAAGTCAAATTTGATTTCTCATGTCAGGACCCCTATGGATTGCATGATTGGGCAGAAGTGACAGCATTAGAAAAGTTGTCGTACAAACTATTTAGTAGACTAGATCTATGCAATAAGAAATGGTAAAAATATTTTTTTTGTAAAAACATTTCAATTTCAGTGACAACGGGTCTCGTTTATCAATCTAACGTAGAAATGAGCGCAGATCCGTGCGCACAAATCAATTTACGCCAGAGTTCACGTGTGATTCATGAAACATTCGTATGCCGCCAATCTCATCGTACGAATGATCGCACGTTGATAAATGTGGCGGCAGAAAACAATCGTCATTTGAATATCAGGCCCCTAAAAACACCCCGGTTTAGAAGCCTTGCCCTAGAGTTTACAACACGGAGAAACGAAACCCAGCCAAAAAGTGGAAGTAATCTCATGAAAGAGAAATTGATCTTATATAGCCTACTCCAAAAACACCCGTTACCGTTAATTGCAAACAATTAGGCTACATTAATAATTTATATGTATATTAAAATACTGGTAGCTTAAATATAAACATAATAGCCTATTCCCCTTACTCTACAACAGATATTTTAAATTTAACGGTATTCAGAACAGAACAAGAATGAAAAATAAGTTGTTATAAAATTATTAAACTATAAAATAAAAACACAAATTGGCAAACAGCATACAAATGTCAAGCAAAACTGAAACGGCATTGGG